GCTGTGTCTGTGGGTTAATTTACTCGTAGAGCCCTTCGCCGCAAGCGACGGGTTCGACGAGGACGGTGACCGGTGCTTGTGGTGCCTAAAAGCACCGTTAATGGATCGGGAGGAATTCATCGCTACAATTTCACGATACGCACGGTAGTTTTTTTTGTTTCCATTTTTTAACCCTTAGCCAAAAGAAACTAATAAAAGTCAGCCTTCTTTTACTTTGGATGTTGACATCAAACAACCTTTGAATAAACATAAAAGTCTTATTCTCCATACAGGGACGTGCAAGCTATTAATAGAATGCTTTCAAAATGATTTATGAGAAAAGCTCCAAGAGCGATAGCTCCGTCATTTGAGCTCATCCATCTGTCTGATCTGTCTCCACGGTCGTTAACCGCGCCACCTCCTTCAAACATCGCACCAACAATCTATTGAAGTCATCAATAATAGATTTACTTAGTTTTCTTCAGTAAATATGTTTAATGATCAAAGACAATGTATGCAAATGGTTATTGCGAATGTTTACGCTTCAACAATTCGATAGTGGCCATATAATTAATACGCTTTTATTAGCTTCAGACGTATGTATGTAACGGAATCTTTGAACATGATTTTGACCCTCTTCAAAACGTCGGATTAACTCGAAATTTGGCATACTTATTAAGGACCGGTGACAATTCAATATTTAAAAAATTTTATGGAAAAATCGAAATTCCACAAAAAAATAAAAAAATACGCTTTTATAGCAAATCCAACTAAAAAATAGAAAATAAATTTTAATAAATTGAAATTAAAAATAGTGTAACAAAAAAATGATTTTATTATAAGAAAGCGTGCGGTGCTTTTCAGGATATTATCAAACTAACCCTTCACTCGTATCTGTTCATAAAATATTTATAACTACTGATAACATGCACCCCACGCTTTTTTTCAATAAAATCATATTTTTCTTACACTATTTTTATTTCAAATTTATTAAAATTTATTTTATTAGTTCGGTCCGGAAACGATGTGCGGTCAAATGTCTATAATCTTAGTATAATATGAAAACTGTACTACATAGCACGTTCGCGCTCGGAGGAAAATCAATAGACGCGCGCAACCCCGCGTCTCACTTTCAACCCCCGCACTGTCTTTATTACTCTCATCGCAACTTTCAACCTGTTTATTGTCGTACTGCCTTATTAAACTGTATCCTCAGATTACTTTAAATTACATCTATAATTTAAAGTAAAAATATACGTTTTAACTCTAATTTGTTGATTTAGTACTTTTTTTAAATTTACGACATTTTTAAATCGCTTTTCACGTATCTTCATTATCAATAATATTACGTAATTTTTTAATACGAAAAAAATTGCGTGAATCAGTTCAAAAAGAATATCATATCTATATATATAAAAATGAATTGCTGTTCGTTAGTTTCGCTAAAACTCGAGAACGGCTGGACCGATTTGGCTAATTTTGATCTTGAATTATTTGTGGAAGTCCAGAGAAGGTTTAAAAGGTAGATACATATGAAAATTCTCGGAATTAAATAAAAATAACAATTTCATTTTTCCTTTGATGTGTCCCCTGTCGGACGGATTCCTTTTGTTTGTTTTAAGTTTATTTTATACAAAAGTTTAGGTATTTTATTTATCGATTGAGGCACTACAAAGTCTGCCGGGTCAGCTAGTAAAATATAAAAATCTACAGTGGTTTTTACGGATGTTCCGTTATAACTACTGAACCATGCATCCGATTGACTTGAAACTTGGTATCCATGTAGAAAATACATGTACTTAATGGATAGGCTAATTAATATTTATATGAGTCTTGGACTCCCTAATAATAATGACAATAAATAGTAATGTTAATTTTAAATGCCCAGAGAGCGGGCGAGTACGGCTAGTATTATGTAAAATTATTTACCCTGTTAATGAAAAACAAATTATTGTATGAGAAGTAATCACAATACTTAAGTTTTCTTCTTCTATATTATTAGACGAACAAGTGGATTTATAAGTACGGTTAAAGAGGCTTAATTTGCTTTCACCCTAAGCCTTGTTGATGAACGATTTGTTCCACAAAGGAAGAGGAGGTTTATCGTGTTTAGCTTGTATTTCCGGCGCCGATATTTGGGAACAAGCAACCTTATAAATTAACACGGTTTCATGTTAACATTTATTTTGGATTACACAATACACAACATGTGGTATCCGGGTCCTTATAAAATTTAATATCCGATCTTAGCAATTCGAGTTAAAAGTATTAAACCAGCATTTGAGATAGATATTAAATTTATGGCTTTTATTGAGTTAAACGGCCGTCTGGTGTTGTGGTAAGTGACAAGATCACTACACAAGGGGGTCGCGGGTTCGAATCCCTCCAAGGCAAGATATTTGTATGATAAATATAAAATGCCTTTTCCAGGGTTATGGATGTATATTAAATGTATGTATGTGTATAATAAAAATCTTGCATTTATTTCCGTTATCTGGTTGGTACCTGTAACACAAGTTCTTTACGAACTTAGCACGGGACCAGTTAACGTGGCGCGATTGTTGGTAAAATATTTATATTTATTTAATGATACTGAAGGTTCACGTTTCAAGAATGTTTAGGTCAGAGGAAAGGGTATGTATATATATATATGTTTTCAGATTTGAAAGTCGTGGGCTAGTCGTGACGCAATAGAATAGAATACAACCTTAGTTTGCGAAGTGGGTAAAGGTATTCAAGTTATATCTATGGTCACCGCTTCGAAGACCCACCACTTACGGTCAGCTCTAGACATCAAAAGAATCTCAAAATGGGCATTTAAGACGAACATTCGATGATACATTTTTGTGAATCACACAGTCAAGGCTTCAATTTCTTACGTCATCCGTAATAACAGGGACTTCCCGAGCTGATGTACACTTCGTGAGAGTTTAAGTACAGAGAACCGCATTAAATAAATTCGGCGGTAAATAAAATTTTCAAGGATTACAAATCTTTATATTATTTCAAGTTTTCATTACCTGTTATTTCAGAGTGACTGATGTTGGAATTGGTTCGTCCTGTGGGAAGAACTATATTTAGATATGTAACCTAAAATAGAATGCAATGGTGGAGCACTGTGGACGCCCTTCGCTACCCCGCTTTGACAGTCTAAGAAATAAGAACGTTATTTTGGAATAAAACGTTAAACTTTTTAAGAGAACTGATATATTTTTTTAAATTGCTTAGATTTATGAACGAATTTACAGCCGACTCGATGTTAACTGATTAGCCCATAGACATCACTACATGAATGCCACCGCACAACTTGAGACATTAGGTTTTTTACTGGTGGTAGGAACTCTTGTGAGTCCGCACGGGCGTACCACCTATACCACCGCCCTGCCTATTTCTGCCGTGAAGCAGTAATGCGTTTCGATTTCAAGGGTGGGGCAGCCGTTGTAACTATACTTAGGTAAGACTTATATCTCAAGGTGGGTGGCGTATTTACGTTGTAGTTGTCTATGGGCTCCAGTAACGACTTAACACGAGGTGGGCTGTGAGCTCGTCCACCCATATAAGCAATTAAAAAAAGTCTCAATTTATAATGTTCTGGTTGTTCCAACCTTGGAACCAGAATGCGAAAAGCTAATTATATCATTCATCATTATTTAATTACATTAGTGCTAGTGATATGCATGGTTTGGTTGCTATGCATAAATAAACAAATAGAATATAGGTCTTGTGGAATTGATATTTATTTTAAACCAATATTTTCTATCTAATACTTACTGTACACACCATAATATCTGATATATTCATAAAATATTAAAACATGTAGTTTAATGTAGATACATTTTAGGAAAATAATTGATGAAAAATGTGGTAAGAATTAAGGAAATCATTATCAAAATTTGTCATTATCGAGAACATTTCAAATTTCTTCAATCATTACTGTTGTATTTTTTCATAGTGTATATCATTTTACTGACAAAATTTATAAGTATTAAAGATTTATAATATATTTAGATTGGTTTCATTGAAAAATAATAGCCTTAAACTTACATAATTATTATTATGTTTAGTAAAAAGATAGTTGCAATTATAGTTGTGGCAATGACTGAATGCGTAGAACCAAAGATCGGGTTCAGTAGCGAGCTTTGGGAGAGGCTATGTCCAGCAGTGGACTGCCGCATGCTGATAATGAAATTATAGTCGTAACACTAAATGACATCTTTGTTTAAATCTCAAGCTTTTCTTACTTTTTTCTTACTTTGGTAGTCTTATATTTTAATACTCTGCAGCCTCAGTGAACTGTAGAATAAATAAAACTGGTACAATTTTTATTCAATTTATTTAACAAAAAAAAGAGAGCTAATGCATAAGAATTTATTTTGTAACACTTAAATTTAAATATGTAACAATAGTCCTTTGTTCCATTTTATGATGTTAAAGAATTTTAAACTAGATTTTAAAAATTGGTAGAGAAAAATTCTAACAAATTGGGGAATTCCATTAAAACATATCTGAGCTCCCTTCAATATGTTGATTTATCAGAAAATAATCAATGGTAATAAAATTTCCTTATCGTGAATTTATTATTTAAATATTGCTAAAAAAACTGTTTCATTGCACTATTTCTTTAATTTTGAGTACAGAATAGTTCTTGTGTTAGAGAAGCTGGCTTTTCTATTTTCAAATTACAAATATATGACATTTATCCATAGAATAAATATTGGCATGTATTAATTTAATGAGTTTGAACTGTTTGTGTCCACATAACTTATTTAACAGCTGATAACAAAGAAATTAAGAATTCGTATAGTGCGTCAGATTTCCGCTCATGACATCACCAACAAAACTGTTAAGATTAATGAACTTGCCAACAAAAAACAATATGCTTTAACATGTAAATTACAGTAATTACTCGAAAAATGTTGTGCTGATTATAATAACGTCATCAGTCGGTTTTAACTTACTTTTACTTTAATTTGGATGCACAAATTAGTAAAGCCGGTAGAAAAAACTTTCAATAAACTTACCTTGTTGTTTTTATTAGCACCTAGGAAAATTTAACGCCAGAAGACACTAGCACACGCCACACACTAGGAACCAAAATAAGCACAGCGTAGGTCGGTAAGAAAAGGCTGAACTGACAGTTCTGTGGCTCGTCGCTGGTCGATGAGGTTAGCCACGAAATGCGCAATGCCCTGACTATGCGCATTAACTTTCTATGCAAACAAGCATGCGCGTATCATACATTAATTGTTTTATATTTAATACTTAAATGAATGCTTCAAGATTTTGATTTGTACTTGACAGATAAAATAGCTTTGTTTTGGTATAAGAGTTAGAGGAAAAAGCTAAAGGAAAATAATGTAAAATAAACACAACAATACCAATGCCATCTATATTTCCGTAGTAGGTACTCAACATTAATTTTGTCTTTGCAGATTTCATTAAAAAGTTGGAAGTTGGTTCCATAGATTACACTAAAATGATAAATGAATCGTTTACTACTACTAACGCTAGATGCCGCTCAACGATTCAGTAATTCAAGGTTATTACGAAAAAAGTAAAGGTCATACATAGCTTTGGTCTTTCGGAAATTCTGCAATAATATTTCTCAATTTTCGTGAATTGCTCTTTAGAAAAAATACCACCTTACACTCAATTAATTGTAAGTAGTAGATATTAGAAAAATAAATTAATACAACAAAAATAAAAGTATTTTCCTTCTGAGATGAAAAAAAAAATTGTATGACATCTAGCGTCTAGTAGCAATAAAGCACTGACAGTCGAGCTAACGTCCGGATGTTAGCTGGTTACGAAAAATCAAAAGCATCAGTAACAATGTGAATGCCGCCACTCTCTTTGAGATATGAGTTTGAAATGTAATGCACTACTGCTACCCTTTCCGAAAAACTGTAACGTATGACTGTTTCGCGGCAGTAATAGGCAAGTGGGTGCTAAATACGTTATTACGCGTGACTTACCAATACCACCAATAATAGCGCTATATAAATTTGGCACATTTAGTTTTTATTGCATAATGTCATTCCTTTCTGATGGAAGTAGTTCTCGAAGACTGGCCAGGTATACGTTACTTCCTAGAAAATTGATGCCGGTTTACTTTGCTTGCAGATGCATGGGGTAGAGTCGACCGAGTAAAAATTCGGGTCGGTCGCGCATTAACTTATTGCAAGAGCAGTGCTTCGCTGAACTTACGACTGGATCACTCAGTAGATTGGATTGGGACACCACACCATAAACGTTTGATACAGTATACCGAGACTTCACATTATTATGTATTCACAGATTATTATAAATGGGTAAATATTTTATTGGTGCCACGTTTATCAGAAGTAAACAAATTTATAATATTTCGTTAAAACCATGATAAGAATTTCATTTATACTATAATAATGGCTCATCAGTATACGTGCATTTTCCATCTGTTTCCAAGAATAAACATAGCCTTTAATTCAGGTTTTATGCGTACCTTGTACCTACGCCTAATTAAATTCTACGGTTTATCCCTTACATTTTCTTACAAAAACATCATTAATGCAAACAGATTAGTGGTGATTGTATATCATAACATAAAAGGAAATAATGATCATAATTGAAAAGATTAGGTAAGTAAAGAACACCTACATTGTTCCTGCGCGCAAATACTCAAATCAGTAATATCTAATGTGATACCACCATTAAAAACTTGATTGATGAATGTAGATCTATATCGACCTGTTAATTCATATTATTTTTCAAGTCCTTTTAAGAACTCAATTTATTTTATGCAAGCGATGTAAAACCCCGCCTTAGGTCTCTATCAAAAAGGCGTTATTTATTTGAAGCGTTTGTGTTTTGTGGAATAATGAGGAAAACGACATGAGGAGAAAGGTGTGTTCGTGGCATCGTAGCTCACAAGCGCAAGGATCGATTTTAATACGCATTTATTTATTGGAAACCGTATCGATTTAGGCCTATACTGTTTTTTAAATCGGATTGTAACTAAAGAGTCGTCTGATTTATTGATATAATTTTTTTATCCTTTTTATTAACAACACCCATGCAGAATTCATGTCTGCTACCTAGGAATTACATTCCCTGCCTCCAGTCTTTCTTGAGCGGTTTGATATATTATAATAGTGGGTAGCGACTTGGCTAGTTCCACAGGGGTTGTTGCCATCCGCGAGCAATGGTAACTCATTAATAGGTGAGAGGCTTGCTCGTTTACCTGCCAATTCAATTCAATTCGATTAAATAATATATGGTTAAAATGATTCTTTTGCAAAATAAGAAGACCTAATATTCTTGTTTAATTTGATGTCGAAAAGATTTCAGATACCTTCAACATTTAAGTACCTAGAGTTTTTCTAGTTGGAAACTTTAGGTTATCTTCTTCATTGACTGATTCACTGGTTAAGTTCCTTGAATACTTTTTAATTCTTCCATTACCTCAAACCGGTTTACCACTACAGACAGGCTTTATTACACTGGTTTAATATCGTTTTTACCGTAACCTTCAAAGTTCTTACTACTCAAAAAGGAAGCAGGCACTTTACGTACGTTCGTATACCTACCATATCTTGTTTATATTGATTGAAATAAATTTATAAACGAAAAAAACAATTTAGTTATTAACAATTTGTCATTACCAAACTACTGAAGTTACCAAGCATTTTTAATTTATTGCTTAGATGGGTGGACGAGCTCACAGCCCACCTGGTGTTAAGTGGTTACTGGAGCCCATAGACATCTACAACGTAAATGCGCCACCCACCTTGAGATATAAGTTCTAAGGTCTCAAGTATAGTTACAACGGCTGCCGCACCCTTCAAACCGAAACGCATTACTGCTTCACGGCAGAAATAGGCAGGGTGGTTGGTAACCACCCGCGCGGACTCGCAAGAGGTCCTACCACCAGTAATTACGCAAATTATAATTTTGCGGGTTTCATTTTTATTACACGATGTTATTCCTTCACCGTGGAAATCAATCGTGAACCTTTGTTGAGTACGTATTTCATTAGAAAAATTGGTACCGCCTGAGATTCGAACACCGGTGCATCGCTCAACACGAATGCACCGGACGTCTTATCCATTAGGCCACGACGACTTCAAAAGCATTCGTTTCTCATAAGTTTTCAAAGATTAGGAATTTAAATTCTGGTACAGTTTATAGTAATTTTGCGAGCATTGTTACGAATTTGTATAAGCTACTAATCATCCTGTCACAGTGGGTCACGATTCCAATCCGGTGGTAAATTCAGCAAAGCACTGCTTTTGCTACCGTCAGTGTTAGGGAAATTCTTTCAAGCCGAGCACAGTGAGTTCAATAGTTAAGATGAAGCCAGAATAGCCGAGGGGCTACTGGAAGATAGGTCTACTGGTGGTAGGGCCACCCATCTAAGCAATAAAAAAAAAAGGTCGGGACAAAAAAAAAACCGGTAATCACACTATTCAAAATGGAACGCACCACTACTTCGTGGCAGAAAAAGGCAGGATGGTGATACCTCACCGTGCGGGCTCATGAGACAGCCTACCACCAGTAGACAAGACGCTCTGCCATCAGTAACAAGATCCTACCACCATTTCTCACCAAAATGACTTCCACAATGACCGAATAACATTGTGTATTAAAAATCAAACCAGCAACAATTATAACACTCGTAATTACTATGGTAAATGGTAGGGAGCGGCTTGGATCTGCCCTTAGCATTGCTGACGTCCATGAGCGATAGTAACCGCTTACCATCAGGTGGGCCGTATGCTCATCTGCCTGTAAAGGTGATAAAAAAACGATTAAGACAGACCTCAAGTCTCAAGGCATTGTGATATCTATGGGCTCCGGTAGCCACTTAGTACCAAGTTAGCCGCTATCTCGATGATTTATGTACGCAATGGAAAAAAAACTAAGCTATTAGTGCTATTACCAAATTTGAATACAATCCTATGAAAATGCGCAAAATCAAATCAAAAACAACTGAAATCCATAGGTTTACATAAAACTTAACTTATATCGTAATATTCGAACTATACATTTGACGTATTCGCGCCGCCTTATTTATCGATAGGTCAATTCATAGCACATTAAAACGTACATCAATCACCCATCTCGTAACACGAAACCGTGGTCTCAATCGTATTAGAATAATAGACTCTCTACCCTTGAAAGTAAACACGCAATGCACTGTGGACAAAAGAATGCCAATATTAGCCCGCGCGGTCACAGCACGCGATGCAACACAGCGCACAACCGACGACATTACTGCTGTTACGGTGTCTTGTGAGCCCGCTCAAGTACGTGTCGCCACCCTGCCCATTTGTGCCGTGAAGCAGTAATGCGTTTCGGTTTGAAGGTCAGGGCAGCCATTGCACTGTAGATCTCATGTCTCAAGGTGGGTGGTGGCATTTACGTTCTTTTTCTTCTTCTGTATATTTTGCATCCGGCACGGTTTGTGCATTAGCCATCGTTAAGTAATAAGATTTTTATAACTCGCCGTTTTAATTATTTACAGTTTATGAATAATAAGGGTAAATATAGCCTATAATATATAATCATATTCTAGCCACTTGAGACTAGAAGTCTTAATTACATTTGCGTAAATACAGATGCAAGGAAAATCTATGTAGTGTATAATAACTTTTTAAAGGGATTTTATTACCTGGTAACTAAGACATTTAGGTCAAGTCTTATTTTAATTTTAATGTAAACTTTTTTATATTATGAAAAATGATATTATGAAATGAAATGGAGTTGATTTATATGAACATGGCATGAAATGAAATAACATGAAATGAGATGAGATGATATGGGATGAAATATAATCTCAGTAAAATAGTGGTCATTTACTGAGACTTTTTCAGTGGACTTTTTGGAGGATCCCGAGAAGCTACGTTTAGCGGATTTGTTTCATTTTCCCACATTTGTGCACTTTTACAAATGCTAAACAGTTAATAAACCACCGTTATTGCACTTTTAAACCTGAAGCAAAACTAAATAGACAAAATAAATCACACAACTTCACTACTCGCGTTCCCACCAAAAAGTCCGGTATTTACCTTGTTGATGTTGGGTGAATATCAGGTGGGCCGTGATCTGGTCCACACATTTTAACAATAAAAAATGAGGTCGAATAATTGGCTGAATGAACATAATGAAAGCATGTGTAAATTCATTTCGACCTTGGCGTGAAATCGTAATGAATGCGAGCAACGCCACGTGATTGAACACATATCAACACCGAGACAGTCGCGGAATCTATCGATAAGGAAGCATTATCGGCGTTACGTAAGTCGGTGCGAAGGTAACGGCCGCTACACGAAGCGGTCGTTAGCTAGCGACGCCGTTA